TTGAAACAGTATGAGGAAATGCACAAGCTCTCGCTCGTGAACCCCGAGCAATTCTGGGGCGATCTCGCCCGAACGAACCTCCTTTGGTTCCGTGACTTTGACCAGACCGTCACCGGTAGTGTGGACAAAGGAGACGTGGTCTGGTTCCTCAACGGGCTCATCAACGTAAGCGTCAACTGCATCGACCGCCACGTCAAGACGCACCCGAACAAAACGGCTATCATCTGGGAGGCGGATGAAATCGGTGAAGGACGCGAGATCACGTACGCGGAATTGTTGGCGGAAACGTGCCGTATCGCCAATGCAATGAAGCACACCGGCGTGCAGAAGGGAGACACCGTCGCCATGTACATGCCCATGATACCCGAGACGGCCTTCGTCATGCTCGCGTGTACTCGAATCGGTGCCGTGCACAACATGATCTTCGCTGGTTTATCAGCCGAGGCGCTTCGTAGTCGCGTTGCGGACGCTAGAGCGCAATGGGTGTTCACAGCAGACGAAGGTCGACGCGGTGGCCGCACCCTACCACTCAAAAAGACCGTCGACGCTGCTATCCAGAGCCTCGACTTCGTCCGCAACGTGTTCGTCTTCAAGCGTACACACAACACTGCCGTTCAAATGAACCCGCAGATCGATGTAGACATGGAGAGAGAGCTTCCTCGCCACCGTCCGTACTGCCCGGCAGAGTTCATGGACGCCGAAGATCCTATGTTCATCTTGTACACTTCCGGATCCACGGGTGCACCCAAGGGCATCGTTCACTCTACTGGTGGATACTTGTTGTATACAATGATGACAGCCAAGTACGCGTTTGATATCCACGACGACGATATTTTCGCCTGTGTTGCAGACTGTGGTTGGATCACGGGACACTCCTACGTAGTGTATGGCCCGTTGGCGAACGGTATCACGACGGTCCTATTCGAGAGCACACCGACGTTTCCGCACCATGGACGCTACTGGGACCTAGTTCAGCGCCACAAGGTGACGCAGTTCTACACGGCACCTACAGCTATCCGAGCGCTAATGGCGCGTGGTGATGACATCGTTCGCGAATACGATCTCTCTAGTCTGAAAATTCTCGGTAGTGTTGGCGAACCGATCAACCCAGAGGCGTGGAAATGGTACTACGAAGTGGTTGGCAACCGGCAATGCTACATCGTAGACACATACTGGCAAACGGAGACAGGTGGGCACATTGGTGTGGGTTTACCCGGTGCTATCCCCATGAAACCGGGTTCGTGTGGCAAGCCTTTTTTCGGTATTGATTTCGTCCTGACAGATGAGAAGGGTACTGAACTAAAGGGGAACGGCGTCGAGGGCCAATTGTGTATCCGTGCACCGTGGCCTGGAATGGCACGTACAGTCTACGGTGATCACAACCGCTACCTGCAGGTGTACACCACATCTCACCAAGGACTGTACTTCACGGGTGACGGCTGTTGTCTTGACAAGGATGGCTACTACTACATCACAGGCCGCATTGATGATGTTCTTTGTCCTTCAGGCCACCGAATCAGCACGACAGAGCTGGAAAGCACGCTTGTCGGTCACCACGCAGTGGCTGAGGCTGCGGTGGTCGGTATTCCTCATCGCATTAAAGGCGAAGGCATTTGTTGCTACGTGACGCTCATGGACAATGTTAAGTACGCACCCGAGCTGGAGAAGGAATTTGCGATGGAGATTCGCTCCAAGATCGGGCCCTTCGCGACACCAGACCTTTTCGTTGTGGTCCCGAACCTGCCGAAGACGCGCAGTGGCAAAATCATGCGACGTATTCTTCGTAAAGTTGCTCAAGGTGAAGAAGACTCGCTCAACGATGTGTCCACACTCGCCGAGCCCGCCGTCGTGCCGGAACTCATCAGTGCTGTGCGCTCAGCGCTGGTTGGAAAAGAGTTGTAGAGGTTGTAGTGTCTTAGCGAAAGCAGGACAGAAACGAGAATCGGTGAAGAAAAAACGTATAAATGTTACTGTCAGTACTTGTATATACCTACTTAATCTTTGATTTAAAATTCAGTATTTAGTTTGTCATTTCCGTCATACTAGTAGTAGAAAAATGAAACAAAACAACAGAAGTAATAATTTATCTTAATGAAAAGTAACACAGATAAACTGTGATTTACTTTGTTTATTTTTTTTAGTTTTGATGGAGTACATTGTAGTCCTTTCCGCCTGTTAAACAACTTCGCAATCATTCAATTTCGTGTATGGCGTCGTCGTCGGCGAAAGAATCCCCTTGGCAGGCTTCGAGGCAGGTTGCTGTAATTCTAGCTCACCACAATTGACAGACACCTCCTTCGTGTTTTTCGGCGGGTACATCACGTATAATGCTATTTGAGCAACACAAACCAGCATACCAATTGCATTGGGAACTACAACAAACATGTCATCGTCGGCGAAGGCGAAGACAGTCCACACGGTGGTGTTGGTGAGGAAAATGGCGCTGATGATGATTGGTAACGCCGTTGCATCCTTCGTCTGAATCACTTGCTTCATCGCTTCCAGTGGCGAGGCGTACATTGCTAAGCTGACGATGTCGCTGACGACGCCGAGAACTTTTTCCACTGCGTCGTCCGACTGATTCGTGACCCCCGTCGTCCCCACGATATAGTAGATAGTGTAAATAGCCATCGTAATAAACGCGACAGCACAAACCTTGTGAATGTGCGAGCGGTTGGTACTCCAGTGGTAGTAGATGGCCCCGAACACGACGGATGTGAACATACCGAAGCAGCAGTTGACAAATAGGGGCAAGATATTGTCAACGAGATAGGCGTACAGGACCCAAACGTAGCAGTTGCAGAAGATCATGACTACAGGAAGGATGGACGATGGACCAGTCGATTTGGTCTTGTAGATTTTCCAGAAATCCGGAGCTGGTGATAGAGCGATAAGCACCGCGGTAATAGTCGAGATCACTCGGATGACATCAAGGAAGCTTGTCATGGTGGCAGGAGATGAGGAGGAGATGCCTTGCCAGATAATCGCAGAATTGGAAGTGTAGAGGTTGGTATCGAAGTCGCCGTCCGTGCAGTAGTTACGTCGTCCTTGCGTTGTGTTCTTGATTTCTGTAGTCGTCATATTAGTTGAGTGGTGATTACCTTTTGCTGAATGCCCACCCGACCACGTCATCATTGATTAAACTACACTGGGTATCAATAACATTTGCCCACACTGTCACAGTGTACTAGTACATCGCAAGGGAATACATGGACGCACCGTCCACATATCTACACGCCTCGACATTTCAAGCTGAAGCTTGACGTCCATTTCGTATGCTGCTGGAACTCTTACCAAGTCCACTTCACCATTTCCACCGATCATTTTCGCGAATGCACTCTCAGATTTACTTTGGTTTCGAACTCGATGGTTCTAAATACATAGATTTGATCCCTAGCATCTCCTGTGGTCATCTAAGTTGTGTCAACACATGCAGCCATCTTTGTGTGCGTGTTGGATGAATCAAGTACCCGTCAAAGCTCTCCTATTCCACATGGCTACATGTAGCCATCTCCCGTAATCCCGTAAATTACAGCAAAAAAAAAAAAAAAACGCTGAACTCAATTGGCGATTATGAGGCTGGCTGTAGCGCTGCTGGCGCTAATAGGACTGCATGACACGGCGGCTATGAAGCAGTCGTGGGTCTTCGAGGGTGAGGACCGTTCGCACTTCCTCATCGAGCGCTTCGGCTTCGGCCCCAGTGGGCGAATGGACGTGAGCGTGTCCGCTGTGGAGACGGACGTGCCCGAAGACGCGGAGGAAGTGCAGGCGGGGCTGCTTTTTGTGCACCAGGACGACCTGTGGGAGACGGTGGCGCTGCTGGACGACGCAGTAGGCAGTGGAGACCTGGAGATGCCTCAAGTCAGCAAAGAGAGGGGCCAGTGTGTGCTGCAAGAGCGTCAGGACAGTCTGTGGATCGACCTGACAGACGCGCAGACTTGGTACGGCCTTATTATTTTTTTATTATGCAGTCAATCGGGTCTGGAATTTTATTTATCGGATCTGAATCGGGTCTTTTTTTTTTAAGGAATATGAGTCGAGGGATGGCGCATGTGAAGCTTGAAGGACGGGAAGGTGGAGCACACAACGGACCACTGAAGATCGGCTTTTACTATATTTTCTACGCTCAATGTACACCTGGGCTCAAGGTTTCTTTCCATGTAAGTAAAATTTACTTACCGATTTGTTTAATAAATTAACTAACATTTTTTTATAGATGGACGCTATGTTCAAGAACGGAGCCACAGATTTTCTATCAGCCGGAGATGCTCCATTGCCAATTGTGTATTTCATCACGAGTTTACTGTTCCTAGGTGCAGCAGCGGCATGGGGAAGATGTCTACTGACACAGCTGGACTATGTACAACGAGTACACTGGTTGATGGCGATGTTGGTGTCTGTGAAAACATTGGCGCTCTTCGCTGAAGCCATGCGCTCGTACTACATGAAGCGCAATGGCGATACTCTCACAGCGTGGACAGCAGTGGCCTACGCGTTCATGAGTTTAAAGGGACTATTGCTCTTCTCAGTATTGATGCTCATCGGCACAGGATGGTCGCTACTGAAGCCTCATCTATCGCAAAGGGACAAGTCCGTATTATCACTTGTATTAGTGCTACAAGTGGTGAGTAATATCGCACAGATTCTAGAGTCTGAGACTGCGGTGGGTACACGTGCTTGGGTGAGCTGGCGAGACGTGTTGATCCTGGCTGATGTGGCGTGTTGTGCCGCTGTGTTGCTGCCTATTGTCTGGAGTATCCGCGAGCTGCGCGTTGCTGCTGCTACAGACGGAAAAGCCTTTGCCAACCTCCAGAAACTCACGCAGTTTCGATCATTTTACTTGCTGGTTATCACGTACATTTACGTAACGCGACTGGTACTGCAACTGCTTCAAGCCAGTTTACCGTACGATGCCACGTGGATCGCTGTGGCAGTTAGTGAATTAGCGGCCTTGGGCTTCTTTACGGTCACTGGCTATCGCTTCCGTCCATTGCCACTGAATCCGTATCTTGAAGTGCCAATGCACGAGGACGATCTGGAGGAATTCGCTCTGGATGACGACGAAGACCTGGACTTCCGCTCCACTCCACGTACTGATATTCGCAAGTTCGCATACGGCGCTCCAGTCAAAACCAAAGCAAATTACTCGATCAAACGCTCGAGTTCTCCGACGCGTAAGCGAAGTGGAAGTATAAACAACGACCTGTAAGGAGAACGCAATAGATGTCTGGGAATGGACCGGATGAATAGAAATTATGTTGAGTTCTTCGAATGTTCTTGGTGTCTTAGTGATAAGAAGCTCCAATGGCGAGAGATAATTGCTGTTGAAGCTCGAGGAAGCGAGATTCTGAGATCATGTTAATCTACATAACAAAAGCTTAGTAAAAGCATGCAGAGTATAGGAATTGAAAGTAGAACTTACGTATCCGTTGCTGATCTGGACGCGCTGCCACTGTACTTTATCTACAAGTTCTGTGGGATATGCCACGTCTACTAATGACGCGTCTCGTGCAGGTAGCACCTTGACTACAATCCCCACAAGTGTCGGTACTTCGACATTATTAGGGTCCTCGTTACTGCATCGAGATACAATTCGCTGAACAATATCGTGATCCATGACGAGAAGCTGAACGTGGTTTCCTACGGTTGGGAACGAGCCGATACCTGTGAATGCAGTAGGCAACACCTGGAGTAGTCGTAGTGAGTGAGCTGCAGTCGAGTCATTTCGGTGTACAGTGATCCACTTGTCTTTCGTGAATTGCTCGCCATGTACGTGAACCAACAGCTTTACATCTCCAGGATCACCACATTCGACGTCACGAACGTCCTCCACTCGTGCCAAGTACCAAACACGTATCCAGGGAACCCACAGGAAGCGACCAGCTGAAAAAGCTGTAGATAGAGCGATCATGAAGCTAGCAGCACTGACTTATACTGATGCGTGAGTCTACGAATGATGAGCTAGAATAGCTGTTGGATGGAATAAGAATTGGAAGTAAATCGGATTGAGATTTTAGTCGGTAAGAAACGACGACGTGGCTCTAGTTCCTAGTTTTGTTAGCTCATCTTCAATAGATCAGCCCGAGTAGAAGTCAATTTGTGTAATATGGACACGTGGAGATCTCCGGGTTTGCAATCTTTGATGGCGTGGAAAAAAATTACTCAGTTACGTATAAATTAGAATATAGATTTCACAACATCGCGTTGAAATTCAACTTAAAGGCCATGTCTCCTTAGAATCACTGTTTCCTGTGCTCACTCACCAAGTATGACCACTTCGTCAACTTCTGTATCTCCTCTCTGCATTTCTTGCCACTTCGTCTTTAATATAATCGCAACAACTTTTCTATGAGTATTCTTCACGTACTCTCCACTGCCGCAGCGATTTTGGCAGTGCTGGCTCCGTTTCCAGACTTTTGGCGGATCTACAAGACTCGCTCCACAGGTTCCGTCTCCGTCTTGCCAGTCGTTCTCATCTTCTGCAACTGCTACGCGTGGGTCATGTACGCGCGTCAGGTGAACTCGATCCCTCCGCTGTTCGTGGCGTACGCAGTCGGTATGCTCGCATCGATCGCCTTTGGTGGAATTTACTATCACTGGACTCGTGACCATGCCCACATTCACAAACTTTACGGCGCTGCGTTCTACATTCTAGCGGGTTACACGCTCTACTACAGTCTTGGGACGAGTGGGGCTACCAACCAGTCGAGTGAACAAGTGGAAAACACCCTCGGAGCTGTCAGCGGGCTCATCAATTTGGCGTTGTACGCGTCGCCATTGGAGAGAATAAAACACGTGATCCAGACGAAGGACGCGTCCACAATTCCCATCACTATCAGCGCGTTTCTCCTCGTGAACGGTGTGGTCTGGGTGTTGCACAGTATAGTGGAAGACGACATGCTCGTGTTGATTCCGAATGCACTTGGAGTCGCGTTATGTATCGTCCAAGTGGGGCTCTATGTGGTGTATTATCCTCGTAAAGCAGCACCGGACACGTTGACAAACACTGCAAGCTGTACGTCATGCGAAACAATGAGGGATCCTAACTATACGAGACTAAATGACTGCAATACTGCAGTTCCCGTATAGTACGGACGTCAGTATATCGCCGGTTTTTTTTTTAAACTCGGCGTCTAAACCTTGTAAAAAAATATCCACGAATTAAAAAAAATAGCATACATATACATACCATTCCTGCAATCTTCCGCTAATACTCGAACGCCCACGAGTTTTTCTCGAGGTAATCCTGAATGGCAGCTTTTAGCGACGTATTGGGTCGCAGCATATCTAGCGTCAGTCGCTTGCGTGTTAACGGGTCTATCGCGCCATTATGACGCAAATGCTCCTCCAAACACCGTCGTTCATATCTAAAAAACCACAAATTTAGTATAATAAAAGAAAATCATCGCAAATTTTACGTACGAGACACCGTTAGGAGTCGTGACTGGGTCGTGCATGATCTCCATGCTAATTGGACACATGAAATAGTCCGGAATTTCTCCAGGATACATATCCCTCTCGTAGCAAGCCGCCATGTGCTCCACGTACGCCATCAAAGCGTCCGCTTCCTCTGCTCCAGAGCGTATTGTGTTATCTGATGTAACTGTGGCTTGTGTGGCCAAGACCTCGGCCGTGTGGCTGGCTCCAAAGAGTTTCTGTAGCTGATTTTTGACCTTCTCGTGGCGTGCAACCCGCTGCTTCTGCGTGTGAAGCCACTGGCGCTTCTTAACCCTTCGCAGTTCTGCGACAATGTCCTCTCGAAAAGCTTTGGGCTTTTTGGTCTTCTCAGCGCTATTCAGTGCCGTCTGTAGCGCCTCCACGGCCGCGTCAAAGGCCAACAAGTGCATGTGACTCGTGCCCAGCATGTAGCTGGCCTTGGCGTTAAGTGCATCGAACTTAAGTGCATGTTCGCAGTCTTCGCGGCAGTTTTCCCATTTGTCCAGCTTGGAATGGCACAAAGCGCGGTTGGAATAGTAAGTGGACCGACCTGGCGCCATCACCTAACAGCAGGAGGTTAGAGAGGCTTTTAGAGGGAGTTTTAAAGCGCGGAAAGGAGCGTACGATGGCCTCTGTATACATGTCGATGGCAGCGAGGAATTTGCCCTTCTGGAAGCACTGGTTACCCTGCAACTTGAGCTGCTCGGCGCGGTCCGCAGCCGCCATCATTGCTGTTCTCTTCTGAGTTTTTGAAAGAGGAATGAAATGTAAGTTGTTGCTATTTTAAGGGTGAAAATCATAAATCACTTGATTGCTCTATAAATGTCAAATATGCTAATAAAATGTGCATTGCTGGATAAACCAAGCGTCTCTTAAAATGAATTGACACCTTATTGCCAGCGTCAACGGTATCTGTCAGATCACTAAGTAGGTTAGAAACCTTCGAGAAGAGCGTGTAGTACAGTGGCAAAGAAGCAAAATGCTGCCGTGTGTGCGAGTTGAAGCTGTCAAGTGGGTTGCGTGAAGTGAGACCTAGGTTAGAATCGAGTGTACTGTACACTGGTGTGCTGCTCTTCTTCTTCGGCATATGTTGGAGTAATGACTCAGGCGTCGAGGCTCCGCGAGCAGTGTATGTATTGATCCATACTTTACACCTGCGGAGAAACCAGCTTGAGGGCCAGCGAGCCGCCAACCAGATTACTCGCACGGTACACATAATGACTAGGTTCAACAAAAACATAGAGCCAAGAAGCTCTAGAATTATCGACGAACGGATTGAACTTCGCCAAGAGGCATTGCTGCATTGCAGGCGTTGCAGTCGACTGTCGGCCCGACATGTCTAGCATCGTTGCATTAGTTCAATGCAACGATGCGCCGCTTGGGAGTGTAGCATGAAGAAGAACCTTTTAGACCCCTGCATGCATGTCGTACAGGTCGTGCCTGATACCTGGTGCAACGCGTGCATGCATACGCGTTGTCAGCTCACGTTAGTGGCGGCGACCGACCACCGATCCTCTTCTCTCTATTTGATTGACGTCCTACTCGGAAGTGATGACGATATGCGGCACTGACTTCTGTACTGGAGAAATCATTAGTTTGTCAGCGCCTGCGCCATGGGGTTCTGATGTGTGAAGCTCGGAGAAGGAAGATATGCCGACGGCGATGGTCTTGATAGACATGTGTGGTGCGCCACATCATTTGCGCCCCGGAGCGAAACGCTTGCACCCTTGGAGCCACGTCTCCAACGTCTCCCCCTGGATAAATCTGCTGTCGCCATCATATCATCCTCCCACTGGACTGTTGTGATCGGGCATTCCGACACTAGGCCGGTGCTCAGTCACTCCAACCAGCTCCGAAGCCCTGACTCCGACATGCAGCACCATCGCTATTTAACGTAACTGCTATAGGACTGGATAACTGCTTGGTTTACCTAGCCCTGGCATGACGAAACGTAAATTATATGTATCTTTTCGGCGGCGAGACGTGGATTGAATGATGAAACGACACACTTCAACGTCGTCCTTTTTCTGCTCTTTTCGAGCTTTCCAATTGGATACCGAGCAGACGGCAGTTTGGCAGTCGTGTGCTTGTTTAGGGCGGAAGTATCAGTTGCCTCACGCTGCTGCTGTGCTCTAGAGCGTAAACTTTCCCGCTTCGGTGTGTGCTGTGCATTAAGACTAAGGAGGTTGTGCACCATCCCATGTCGTTTTGCTACAGGCTTATCGTTTTGAGTCTTATTCCTGTAAGCTGAAAGTTGAGGGATACTGCTAGGGAGATTATCAACTTTGAATGGATTCTTTAAGCCGTTTGTAGCGTACACTGCTGATTTCCTGTACTCGTCTACGTGTGACTCTATTCGGTGTGAGCTGCCCGTGGCTGACAGTCCAGAACGCTTCATACCGAGCTCTGCTGAGCATAGTTCTGCGTGCTTTCGACGAATCCAGCGATCTAGGGCAGAGTGCTCGAATGTGTGGGACTCTATGCGTCCCCGTTACCCGCAGCATGATTCTAGCGAGCATTACGCCCGAGTGGTAGTCAGTCATTTCAGTTTGGAGCCAGCACAATGGCGGTGGAAGAACAATTAGTGCTCTGTTGCTAGTCAACAGACAACGGCTGTACACATGCGGGCTGATCTTCCCCTTAGTCTGTTCCTTCAAGATGGCAGTGCAGCTCCGTCGGTGCCACCCTGTCCAGGCGATCGCAACTAGCTTTTCTTGCTTGTTGTCAGCGATTTCCGAGCGGAAAACAAAAAAAAAAAAAAAAACTCTACCAATGCCCAATCACGTCGGAACTAGCGCATTTGTGGCTCGTTTAGCCCCGGTTGCGCCGCTAACAGCGTGCTAATAGTCAGTGTAGCGGTCTCCAAAGCCAACGCTCCGTAGCGGGAAACCTTGGCAACGGAGCGGCCTGGTTCTATCGATGGCCGACAGTCAGCATTGCTATCTGGGAATCCTATGAGCTTCTATGAAACGAAACGCTGGCCGTTATGAGGGAGAAACCACCGCATAATAGAAGGAAAGTAGCCATAAGTGCGTGCGTATTGTATCGACTGCTCATAGGCGCGACCCTCGAGTCGATCGATTCTGGACGATGATCACTTTCCATTCCACTATCTCGGTCCAAAGTCCAGCTTCAAGCTCACTTTAGCATTTCAAGCGGAGGCGAGACGATGTCACATTCGGACTGGCGATCCAGCGCGTCCGAGGGCTCGGAGTACACATTCTTGCACTTCCACCAGGACACACAGGCAGCAGCAGCCTATCAACAGACACAGGCACCGTACACGGCCGCAAACATGCACCCAGCGTTGTGTAGCACCATTAACCAGGCTCTTAGCGACGAGGAGATTCTAGACGAGATCTTCCAGGAGATCATGTCCCCCAGTCCGCAGGATCAGGAGGTTCAGGACAACGACCTCAAGGGCTTCGACATGACCAGCACCCTTTTCAACCCCGTGATCACACCCACTTCACTTGCTTCAGCCCCTTCAACACCTCAGCTTACCAGTACTCTACGTCGAGGCAGCATTCCGTCCGCGTCGCTCGGATCCATCTCGCCCAACATGGCGGCTGCTCTTCGTGTACCAACGTTCCCCATGAACACAGGCGTAGCACGCAACACAGCCTTCTTCCCCATGTTAAACGACCCGAAAGTTCGCGTTAACACTGCGTTTGGCGTACACCACGCCTCCATGCTCTTCACGTCACCGACGGCCGGTCGTCGAGGCTATCGACGCACCAACCGCCCCACGCGGATGCAAAAGAAGAAACCAGCCTCACGTATCTGCCGCATGCCTGGCTGTACCAAGGGCATCCGCTCGCGTGGCCTGTGCAAGGCTCACGGTGGAGGCCGGCGGTGTACGACACCCGGCTGCGAGATCAGCGACCAGGGCGGAGGTCACTGCATCGCTCACGGCGGCGGCCGTCGCTGCTCAGTCGCAGGCTGCCAGAAATCGGCTCAATCTAAGGGACTATGCAAGTTGCACGGCGGCGCTCGGTTGTGCCGACTGCCGGACTGCAACAAGAACGGCCAGATCAAGGGCCTCTGTCGGCTGCATTACAGTCTGACCATGGCGTCTAAGAACTCGGCTGCGGTTGCTGTCCCAGCAGCGCCAGTGGTGATGAAGCTCGAGTCCCAGAGCAGACACAGCCCGTGCGATACATTCGAGCTGCGAGTCTAAGTGTTCTCAGCCATGCTATGCAGCATACCCCCACGTAGTTAGTAGAAATTCCACCACATACAGATCCACTGAACATAGTGTAAATACCCACACAAACTCAAAACTAAATACAAACTATAGATCCCAAAAGTAATACTCGAGAATACTTCAGTTTAGTGTGTAATAGTTGCGGAGGGATGGATGTTGGACGAAGTCGGAGGATCGAGCCGGAGGAGATGCAGACGAAAGGAATACAAAAGACGCTCGACGAATAGTGAGGACAATTGCCAGTGGACAACAAGAACTAAGCACGTTGAAGTGGGCAGGTGGTATCAAGGACTGCATCTGTTCAAATTCTAGCGCAGAGATCCTACTTGCCTGCAAGAGCTTGGAGGTACACCAAGCAGGACGCTAAGCTGTTGATTCCTTTCGTTTATGTAGCATTACGCTTGTCAAAATTGAATCTGCAATTGATACGGAGAATCGAGTCGTGTAACCAAAATAGCTGCGTTTGAGTATCATTCGCAAGGTAACGTCCACGACGATTCCGTCGTTCTGCAGCCCCAAGCAATTTCAAGGGATCAAATAACCGCCTTCGCACTGGTAGCGTGCATCACGGTCTACAAATGTCTTGAAGTATCCACTCTCAGTTGGTGGTCTCCGTAGTTCCAATGCAGCGATCGCGATATCTAACCAAACGCGATCTCACCTTTCAGTTAACACAAACTAGGTAAAAAAGGAGCAAAACGACATGGACGAAGAATAACCACTTTAACCGTAGGGAGTAGCACGAAGCTCCACACCGAGCGCAGAGCCTTGCTCCGTAGTTCGCACCAAACAGAATTCGAAGTGGCTACTTCTAAACTGCGGCCTGCTATGGTAAAAAGTAACTAAAGAAGGCTCAATTCTAGTAAAAAAAAAAAAAAAAAGAGCACCGTTTCGCTATCAATTCGCCAAAAATATATACTTGTAGCATTTTAGCCTGACCAACTTAGATAGTCGGACTAAACATAGTCCGCTGAGTATTATAATAGCAGTTACATTATCATAGTTATCTAGATATCGAAGTCAGGACAGATCTTCGAATTTGGGGATGCATTCGAAGTGCCTGGAGTGTCAGAAATGCCCGATCACATGGGTGCAGCGTGTGGGTGGAGAGGAAGGTATGGTGACGACAGCACATTTGTCTATGGCGAGACGCTGGAGACATGACTTCAAGGGTGCAAAGCGCTCTACGGGGAAAAAAATGAGATGGCACCACACATGATGATCTTCGTGTCCCAGATCCTTCTCCGTCTCAGAGAAGGAGCTACCCACACCAGATCCTTGGAAGGAGAAGACAAGCGAAACTGTTTCTGATGCGGCAGTGTCAGCGATCTCTCCGAGGTGCACTATATCAAGCTGCAGGCGTATGCGTATGCTCCCATCAAAAAGGACTTACCCGGTGCTCTTTCCGCCAGCGACACATCAGCGCAATGCTACGTTTCCTTGCAAATGGCGCGTCGCCACATTGCTGCTCCATGTCGTGCAGACAGAGACTTCTGAACGAACTTCAATGACGAACTTTGGGCGCTCTATGCGATGGCGAACCCATTGACAATTCTCCTGGAGCCTCACGTGAGCAACTTCAACTGACTTCTCTTACATCGTATACCGCACATACTGTACTCGTTCCTCCACGCTTTAACCTCAAAACCCGCCTAGTACGCCGTTCAGAGCATCGCTAATAGCATACATTCGGCGTCGCTCGTGCTTCACATGTCCGATGCCGACACTCTGGCCTCCACTAGCAAACGCCATCATCTTCTTCCCTCCAATACTATCAGGATCACCTCGTTTCTCGTAGAAGAAAACATCGTTCACCACTCGGTCCAGCGCCGAGTAGATATGACTAGGAACCGCAATAGTGGCCACTGTATCGAACAGAGCTTGCTCCGAGATGCGTAAATCCCACACATCTTGATACATGACGTTATGCTGCAGCATCGGCAGCACCACGTCCATCTCCGCCTGCATCAACTGCGGCGCCAAGAGCTCGTGAATCGCCATCGCGGTACGGAATAGGAACACTGTACCATCCAGTAAGAAATTATCAAACACTCGCGCCGCCGATTCAAGCGGTAAAACCTGTAGGAACAGCGTCTGCAGCCAGTTCATGAGGTACATGGAGCATGAAAACACGCCCACGTCCCTTAAATGAGCGTGTAAATGCGGTAATCTGGAGTGCAAAAAGGCGTCGAACAGCGTGTAGTACACACTCGCGAGATCGGCGTCGAGTAAGTAAAAGGTGAAGAGATGCTCGTTCACCATGAGGTTGGCCAGACACTGGAACGCCAGGTACCGGTCTTGAGGCATGTGTAAACACAGCATCGCCGCTAAGTACGACATGCCCTGAATGTAGCCGAGATCTGGTCGATAGCAGGCGTACGTCTCCAATACTTCCAGTAAGAAGGCGTAGTATGGGCCGCTGGAATCGAATAATTTCAGCGACGGGAAGGTACGTGGTAGATCGGTATCAATCAGCGCCAATGTATGCTCTCGACCGCCGTCTACGGCATCTTCCTTTAAAGCTCGGTCCTTCTTGTACGCTGCTGCGCGTCGACGATAGATTCTGAACATTTCTGGCGTAATTTTCAGCTTGTTCCCGATCGCCATAGGCCACACACGAGCTCGAATCGAAGGAGGGATTCCTTGTCGCCATAGCGAGTGAGCCAAAGGCGTATCTTTGTTTTCTTCCCAGTCACGAAGGATGCGAGTTCTCCAGAGTTTCTTAGCACGTCGCAGCTCTTCTTCCTTCTCGTGGATGGCTTCACGAGGGAGATGACTGAGATCCATCGCCAGAGTTGGAGGCGTACCACGACGATGCCGACGTGGAGGTGTAATGGGTCGACTTGGCGAGACGCGACCATGATCCGGATCGTCGTCGCTGGCCTCGCTCCCCTCTGATAATTGCCTCGATGTTGTAGGCATGTCCAGTCCATTCACAGCAGCTCCAGTCTGTATCATCGTCTGGGACGAAGACTGTCCGTATAGTGAAGGATGCATCTCAAGAGCGATGGTATACTTGTGTCCACACGCCACTGCGAGCTCCGTTTGCGATGAAAAACAGTCGATACGTTCCGGTTTGTCCTTATTGGCAGTATGGCCAAGTCCACAGGCTCCGTAAGAGTTTAATCCCCATGCAAACATCACACGCTTCTCTGTCGTTGCGATGGAGTGGAACGCACCACAATAGACTCGAGCGAGTTGATCCGGTGCACATAATGCGTCTGGAGGCAGTTGAACACGAGCAGGAAGAGGCTGATAGACATCGCCCGTCCCGAGTTGTCCATACTCGCCCAGTCCCCACGAATACAGCTCTCCACTGGCTGTCAACACTACTGTATGTGTGTATCCACACGCAACGTCGACTACAGGAGACCCCGCCACCTCTCGAAGCTTCTCGACATAGCGAGGCACGCCTTGGTCTCTATCCACATATCCTAAGCCACACTGTCCTTCACCAGTCTTACCCCACGTGAAGATGTTCCCCTGTCGATCCAACGCGGCTGTAAAGTTCCACCCACATACGACTTGAGAGGTAAGCGTGCCTTGCGGGAATCCCACGATCGGGTGCGGCGTATCGCGCCACTTGTTGTCTCCCAAACCCAAGCGGCCATTGCGTCCTCGACCGAACGTGAACACGGTTCCTTTCGCAGTCAACACTGCCGTATGAGCGCCACCACAGCTCGCACTCACCACACTTTCCCGTAGTAGACTCATGACCTTACGGGGCACAGCTCGATCGCGCATATCTCCATGTCCTAGCCGTCCGTCTTCGCCACTTCCCCACGTATACAACTCTCCAGCGTCTGTGATAGCTAACGAATGCTGCGCTCCACACGCTACCATAGCGATGGTCGTACGATGAAGCGCCTTCTCCAGTGCAAGTTCTTCAACGAGATGTGGTGACAGGAATGACGAAGTGGAAGTGAGTCGCGTTGACTCGTTATCTGGTGAGGTAGAAGCTGTGGTTGCGATAGTGACGGCTGCAACCTTCTTGTCTTCGTTGTCGCCGTAGCTGTAGACATCTCCAGTGGACGTGAGGTACAGCAAGTGCTCGCCACCACAAGCCACTTGAACGATCGGCTGACCATTAACCAGAGACACTTGCTTTGGTCGAAGAACCAAAGGAGTCCCACCTTCGAGACTAGGCGGACGACCCCAGATCCACATGGACGAGCTTGGATCTTCCTGTTGAGCTGCATCTTCGTTCTCCTCGAACTCCAGCGCTTTTTCCACTTCGGACCTGTCGTCAGCACTGCCTTCTTCTTCGTCGTCGCTTTCATTGCCGTCCACTTCTTCGACACTTCTGTCTATCTTTTCGTCTTCGCCGTTGTCTTCCACATTTTCTGCTACAGATGCCGTAGATGCCTCCAGCTCCTGTTGTTCACCCTTAGTTTCTGCCGCGTCACCATGTTGGCCGTATTCCTGGGTTGAAGACTTCATAGTGCTAAGGGAAATGGTGATACTGCGAGGACTTCTACGACCCTGTCGACTGTTTCTCCGGTTAAGTACGGGTTGTGACTTGCTGCGTTGCCGAGGCATACGCTGCACTCGCTCAAAGCTATGCAGTCGGTCATGTAAGGCAGCCAGCATCTCATTCTGCAGCGCCACCAGTGCTGTCATACTGCTATGCACGTCTGTACGCAGCTTGGCATGTAAACTCTCCCTCTCCTGCTGAAGACGACGAACGTTGGCTGCGTTCTCGTAATCCACGCGATTGTGTCGTGTCCAGTACGTGTGTTTAATCTCTGGTAGCACCTCGTGACTCAACGTTCCCAATGGACTCAGCACTGCGTCCTCGCATTTCTTCTCAAACTCTGGCTGTACAGACTCCAGCAACTGAGTCAGAGCTTTTACTAGTCGTTCTGCGTGTGTGTTGCCATCTTCTCTCTGTCCATCCTCTCCATTAGCAAACAGCGACATATCGGCCACTCTCTTGTACTCGTCCAGTACAGCTGAGGTCGCTCCCCACCACGCTGTCGTAGCCTGCATATAAGCGCGTACACAGTGCCATAACGCACTCAGATTACCCTCAGCTTGCAGCACCTCGTTCCTGAATTGTGTGGACACATCACTGGTGTCCTCCTGTTCCAGTAGCTCCTGGTCCGAGCCGTCGCTCTCGATCCCCACGTCTTCGCTGTCTGTGACGCTGTCAGCGTCTGCCCACGTCGTGCTCTCCACTGTGGGTTTAGCCCAATCAGGCAGTTCGCCTTTTACCGGTTTTGGCGGTCGATTGCGGTGGTGCGCTACAAAATCGCAGAAAATCTGCATGTCGAGACCGGCACTGGAGCTCGTGTCGTGGTGCATCCCAGCCGCGTGCTGCCTCGATAGATGCGCTAAGACCTCGCGTAGGAAGATCTGGAGGCCGTCAAACCGCTGCTGCAATTGTGCGTCGGATAAGGGGAAAACCTGGAGCGCATATTTCGGTGGAAGACCCACTGGAGGATGGAAGTGAAGCTTGGCGGCTAACGACGCGATCTGAGAATAACGGCGGTACACGAGGAAGTGCGAGTTGGTCGTGCAGACCTGCAGCACATAAGCCAGGAAAGGCTTGCGGTTCTGAGCATGCTGGGCCTGGTAGAAGCCCAGCATCTGCACGTCCGTCAACAGCCCGAAGCCGAAGCCGCCCATGGTCGATAGATCCACTAAAGTGTGAACTGTTGAAGAACATGACAAGATTCTAGACTGTGGTGTGATGTGTGCATTCAGTGACTTGTAAATTCTGGACACACTTAAACAAGTGATTTACTATTGTCACTGGAGGCTACTTGATAATTTGGTGACAGTAGAAATAAGTTCGTTCACCAGCCACTAAACACACTTTTCACGTCACAACCATCGGAAATGCACAGAGTGTTGGTCGTTCCTACTGTCCGCGCGCCAATTTGAATCATGGATGCGGAATGGACGTTGACGCTGCGGGAGGTCTTCCAGGACGTTCAGCTGCAGGCGGTGGAGGCCAGCGGGTACCTGCGTAACCCGTCGGGTGTGGCTCACCAGCGGACGCTTGTTCCGGCCGTGCGGCGTCTCAATACGCTCTTTAATGACGAGGTAAAGGACGGCAAACGTGGCGTGGTGGAGGAGGCCTTTGTGCTCTTCTTGGACGAGATCTGGCTGGCTATGGCCAGAGTGTTGGTCGCTCCTAAAGTGAGTGACGTGGTGCTGCTGGCTGTGGCCTCGTTTGTGGGCGAATTCCTGCGTCGCACGAGCAACAAGAGCAAGGAACTAAAGGGAAAGGAAGAGCTGCGTATGGAGCTTTTAAAGCGGCTTATGGACGCCACTAAGGCCGAAGATCGCGCCGTGAGGCTGCGAGCCTGTCACATGCTGCAGATCGTGGTCAACCGCCTCGAATACATCGAGTAAGAGGCTGCTGATGAAGAGATAAGCTGTAAAGACCATCTCTAACTGTTTTTACTGCAGGGAGGAGCTCGAGACGCAGCTGAAGGCGACGATGCTGAAGAGACTTAACGATAAGCTGACGTCTGTGAGGATCCAGAGCATCTACGGGCTCAAGAACCTCCAGAATCCTGTAGAAGACGAAGAAGACGAAGTTACACAAGAGCTGAGGAAGCTTATGGTGTCTGACCCGTCCAAGTGAGTTGCAGATTACGCCAATTGATCTTTAATACTGAAGCACTAACAGTTTTTTTTCAATGGCAGGGACGTACGTAAGGCGGCGCTGCTCAACTTGACAGTATCGAAGAAGCTGTACCAGGACCTATTGATCCGTATCCGCGACGCGAGTGAGGATGTACGCTACGCCGCGTTCCGCACGATCGGCAGCTCCATGCCTCTGGAGGATATCCCTATCAGTGACCGTGCCCATCTACTGGACCAAGGACTACAAGACCGAGCTGCGCGTGTGCGGAGAGCTTGCGAGCAAATGGTGCTGAAGAAGTGGTTCCCAGAGTGCGATTCCTCGCCGGTATTGCTGCTCAAGGCGCTGGATATCGAGCAGTATCCTGAAATCGGCTCCAAGGTCTCGCGTCTTCTGTTGAAGCACTTCTCGGAGCAGCCTCGAGCGCTGCTGGAGAAGGAAGGAGTCGTCGAGTTCAACGCGCTGGATATGATGTCTCAGAACAGTGACGCGTTTAATGCAGAGAGCATTTTCTTCTGGAGAGAGCAGTGTTATTACTACCAGAAGATCGACAATGACCCAGACAAGGCAGCGGCTCTGGTGCCGAATGTCTCGGGCTTCAGCAAGATGCTGGTGGCCACGTGCAAAGCCGAGAGCGACGTGCTCTTTATCGCGCAGCAGCTGCTGGAATTCGGCCATTTACTGGACTTCCAGGACGAGTTTGGACGTCGTAACTTGCTGGATGCCTTGCGTACGTTGCGTACTCTCACTGTCTGAGGTTATCTGGACTAATGGTGCTCTTTCTTGCGATGTCTTGCAGAGAAACTACTGCGGGAGATAGACACGGACAGCCAACTGATCAAGGGAATTATGGAGCTGATGGCATTTGTGTACTCTGGCAGCTCGGAGCAGGAGTTTATCCAGGTCGTGGCTGAAGTCATCTCGGACATGTACGACCCCGTAGAGGTAGGGAATCAAGACGTCTCGGCATCGCAGCAAGAGGATTCGGAGGTTCCTTCGTCCCAGCAAGATACATCGACTGAGGACGAGACGATAGGCCTCAGCTTCGGCCCGCAGCTGCGCAAATTGAGTGATGAAGACCGTGAAGCCGCCGAAGCCAAGTTCGAAGAGCTGGAAAAGCATCTCGAGACGCTCGAGTTTGACTCGGAAGAATACAACAAAGTGCAGGCAGAGATGGTGGCACTGGAGGCGCTTTTGCAGGACCCGAGAGTGCTGAGTTGGCTGCGATGTCTCGAGATCGTCGCCCAGCTGTTGAAACTCACGTCACACAACCTGAGCGACCCTATTGTGGACGGCATGAGTCGCTATATCCTGCCTGCTATCGACAGCGACGTGCCGGCGTTGCGTGAAGCTGGACTGGAGAATCTGGGACTCTTCTGTCTGCTGGACAAGCGTCTTGCCGAGCGGTATTTGATCGTCTTCTGGCGAGCGTTGAACAACCCAGAAGAGGAGAGCGAGGTGAAACACACGTGTGTCCAGTCTATCTTGGACATGGCATTCAGCTTCACCAACCTCCAGCCACACATTTTCGGTACGAAGTTAGCAGAAGACACTGGCGACAACGAAGAAGAGAAAGACGAGCGTGGCAATGACACCGAGAGTCAAGAAACCAGCAAGGAAGGAGACAAGAGCGATGATCGGGATGGAGATAACAGCGGAGACAAGGATAAAGCCGAAGACGAAGATATGGAGAAAGATGACGAAGCGGAGCCTGTTGTGGGCGTCGAGAAGCTGGATCTGGACACCATCTTCGTTGGTCTGGGGCAGCTCATCTCTGTCGATGACGTGGACCTCCAAAGCACCATCGTGGAAGGCTTCTGTCGCCTGTTCATGATGAACCGCATCGACAACATCACTGTGCTGGCCATCTTGCTCGAGACGTACTTCAGTCCGAAGCTCCAGAAGGTGCAGAAACAGAGTGAACATGGCTTCCAGTCGCGCTCTCTTCAACTGCTGAGTATCTTCTTCCCTGCGTTCGTCATGGCAACGTCAGCAAACTGTATGCTACTGGAGGAGGCAGCCACTCATTTGATCCAGAAGTCGATGGAGAAACTGCAGATGGAAAGTGACTCTATGCTCGACTTGGGCGCGTGTTCCAAGTACGTCATGCATCTGCTGAATCACAACGAACAAGAGGAAGTGGCTGCTATCCAGACGTCAAGAAAGAAGCGAGCGAAGAAGCCGGAGAGACGACGCTGCGCTCACCATAACCGGATCGGAATCACCATTTGTCTGGAGATGCTAGCGCTGGAGAAAGTGGCGGCGATGGCCTCGATCCACCATGACGTTGTAATTTCGAGGCAGAAGGCTCTTCTCAAGATGATCGCGTGGGTGGAAGTGACGCTGGATGAGCAACGCTCTGCTGCGCTGTTCAAGTACTTGCTGCAAGAGATCACGACGTCTTGCTTTGACTCTCAGCGGGGATTGCTGCGAAGTGCAGAGGCGGTGTTGAAGCGCACGTCGGCCAGTTATTCGGAGCAAAGCACCGAGCAGAGCGAGGACCAGACGACCGCTTTGGAACACGATCAGTCGTGGGCTCATGATCTCGTGAAGGAACGGGAAGAAGTGCTGCATAAGGTGCTGCTGAAGGCCAGTGCGGACCATGAGAAGTGGCTGAAGAAACAGGAGCGAGAGAAGAAGGCTCAGCGGAGGAGGAACGCGCGATATGTTTCGTCTGGGTCGTCGGATTCGAGTGACAGTGAGAGCGACGAAGAAGGAGACGAAGAACCGGATACTGCACCTGCACGTCGTGAGCTTTCATCGCGTCGTAGTAAGACGGCGGCTGTGAGTCGTATGCACGAGAAAGAGGGCGAGTTTGATGCGAGGATCAAGCAGGCGCTACAGGCTGATGATGCGGATGAGGAGGATGAAGAAGAGTGGGATGATGAGGACAGCGAAAGTGAAAGTGAAGGGGACGACGAGTCTGATGCTGAAGAGGAGGACGGGGAGGAGGAGGAGGGGGATGATGATGAGTAAACTTTCCGTGATCAGTTCTTCATATTTCGCGTCAACGCGGTAACACTTGTGGAATCGGCGGCGGTGAGTAAGTTTTGTTCCAAGTTCTGAACATACATGTACAGCTCCATGAGCAACTACACCCTGGCTGCTGTTATCGTAGCGATTACCTAAAATGCTGTCCTTCTTGAAAATTCGTTTGACTTGGAATCTGAAAAAAGTGGGGGG